ATTTTATTTTCTTTTTTTTACAGAGAGAAAGAGAGAGGGATAGAGAGTTAGAAACATCGATTAGCTGCCTCCTGCACACCTCCCACTGGGGATGTGCCCGCAATCAAGATACATGCCCTTGACCTGAATTGAACCTGGGATCTTTCAGTCTGCAGACCAATGCTCTATCCACTGAGACAAACTGGTTTCGGCTCTGCATATATTGATGATTATCAGAATAAAACACCACTTACCTGGCACTGTTGAAAAGTCATTTATCACGTTTGTCTTTTTTTTAGATGTTAATGTTTTAAACAATTGGAATAGAATTATTTCTCATTTTAAGTAGTGACAGCGGTCAACTTGGAAACAGCCCTGAGTCTGTGAATGAAAATGATCTATATTTTTGAATCTGTGCCTTATACTGCCCAACAAATCCTTCTCATTGGGGAGATGTTAAGTAGAGCATGCAAACTCCCCTTTGGCTCAGTGGTTGGAGGGTTGGCCCAAGGACCAAAGGGTCAAGGGTTCAGATTCCCACATACTTCAGTTATAGATTAGAACCCCAGCCCCCATCAGAACATGTGTGAGAGGCAACCAATCGATGTGTCTCTCTCACAGATGTTTTCTCCACGCCGGCCCCCACCGCCTCTCTCCCATTCTCTCTAAAAATCAATGGAAAAAATAACCTCGGGTTTGGATTAAAAAATAAGAGCGTATAAACTAAAATTGCAGTTCAAATTCTATGCAATTCAGTTATGCCTCCAGAGGCTGGAGGTACATGGGATAACTAGTCCTCTCCAGCCAGTGGCTCCAAATTGCCCTTTATGTTTCACCTGCTATCTGCAGGCATAGAAGGCAGTGACATTTCCCTGTGTTTAGAAAATGCTACTTTTGGGTCTTTATTTCATTTTGATGAAGTGGTCTCCATTTGAATCAGGTATCTTCAAAGACTTAAATCTCTGAGAAAGTATGAGTCCCAGAATATACCTCTGAAAAAGGTGGACCACCTGAAGATTCTACACGTAAAAATGCTAGTAAAGACTTAACTGCACTAATATTTCTTATTATAATTGTTTTTATTTATTAGAGTTCTGGCTTTAGAGTTGTATAGGTTTTAGACTCTACTTTCCCCATAAGACTTAGTTTCAGTGTATGATTTCATAGAACTCAGTCATTTTGGGATATATACATTCAGGATCCTGGAAGATATTGCCCCTGGTTTAGGGAGCTTAAAAGCTATTGAGAGCGGTAAAAAAAAAATGGAAGCCAGCCCAGGAGGCAGGTGAGTCTCTCTCTCTCCTCTGTGGAAGTACTGGTACAATGAGTGTCTCTGGGGCATGGGGGAAGTAGCTGTGCATTCACCCTCTCTCAGCTCTGCCCGCTCCTAACAATAAATTGCCCTCTCTTTAAAAGAAGCCAGTTCTTAAGACTATTTTCTCAATGTTTTCCACTCACAACTGTGCCTGGATCCCACCCAGAATAAAGTCATTTCTCCCTTTAGCACTCTATCCTATTTTGCTGCCAGATCATTCTCAACCTTTAATATATCTAAAACAGGGGTGTCGAACTCAATCAGAGAAGGGGCCAAAATCTAAAATCCAGCCTAAATCGCAGGCCGAATGGTTCACTGAACAGTCATAAACTGTCATTGTGATGGAAACGCAGCGGAGTGCAGTGATGACAGCGCGGTGAGGGCCACATTGCAAGGCCTGGGGGGACGGATTTGGCCCGCGGGCCTTGTGTTTGACACATGTGATCTAAAAGCTCAATGTTACTTGTTTGAAACAGAAAGTTCTTTTCTTACCTAGATATTCTTCAGATATTCTTACTTTTAAGGTGCTCTGTTTTTCAACTATTTGTCCTATGCTGTCTTAAACTGTAGTCCAACCAGACCACAGCAACACCCAAGTCTTGCTCTGCGATGCTTGGTTCTTCCTTACCCACTAGCTGCAATACAACTCCAAATGACTCACACTTAACCCTGGAGTAGCTGCTGGCACCCTACCACCCACCCTCCCCTTTTATCAGTCATTTATCTAACCTCATGCTATAGACTATGTCCTTAGGATCAGACACTTGATCTTTGCATCCCTTTTAAAACTATCAAACATGTAAATACAGTATCTTCAAAGGAATCCTTTTTTTTTTTTTTTTTTTTTTTTTTTTTTACATTTTGTGAATGTATTCACAAAAGAACAGTATCTCAACTACACTATGGGACATGTACTTGTGGGCTTGTCCAGAACCCCAACTGCCAAAACTTAGGGTGATTCCACACAGAAGTAACTAGCTGAAGGGAAATGATCAAATGTACATAGATTTAGAAGAACCTGGGGTCAAAATGATCTGCCAGCTTCTGTGACCTTGATAAATTACTTCTGCTGCCTAATTTCTCCCTTTAAAAATGTAATGTTTATAACTTAGTTCACAAAGCAGAAAAACATAAAATGAACAAACATAAAACCACCCTAAATAAGACTGATCTGTTAGAACAACCTTCTTTCCCACAACAACCTGTTCAAAAGTAAGGGCTACTTGAGAACTCCTTCAGTATAGGGACAACCATATGATTGCACTGCATAGTTTTTTGGGGTCAAACAGCAATTACTATTTTAATTTACACTCTGTAAACATCTCATCATAAAATACAGCATACATTTAAATCTCCCATCCAGGATTTAGGTGTTTTTAACCCAGAGTAGGGGGAAACGAAATCTCATCTATTAGCTAAAGAGAGGTGAGTTCAGGCTGGCTTTTACTCTAGTCTTGGGAAACTAGAAATGTAATTTCAACAGAATGGGAAAAATTCATAGCAAAGCACCAAGATGTCCAGGAAAGGTAACTAAGAGGGTTCATTCTATAAATATTGTATTACAGAAGGATCCCCCAACTGTACACAACTACAGAAATCCTTCCTTCGAAGCATGTTCTCTAACAAAGTGATTCATTTGGCTTCTCAACTCAGAAATGATCAAATTTACAAAGCTTTATATAATGGATTTATCTAATACATTCTCCAAATTTTGCTCTTTACACTTCATTTTATCTAATGACACCAATCTCTTGACTCAAATAGAGGCTAGTAATTTAGCATTTATTACAATAAAAATAATTCCCCATCACAAAAAGACCCTGCTTATTCTGAAGTTCTCAGACTTTGCTTTACCCATTCACACACTACAGACCATTTCAATTTCCTCCCATTTCCCATTTTTCTCCTAGAGCTTGTGTTTTACAAAACCTGGATTCCAAGTTCGGGTTATGATAAGACTTCAAAGTCACTACTTTCAGGAAAACCTCCAAGCTCAGCCTCACAAAATCTCACTCATTCAGCAGATAGTGTGCACCCACCCAATTGCTATGAGCTGGGACCAGTGATCTGACTCTACCTCTTCTTAATTAGTCAATACTTAGGCTCTGCAACTGTTTTTTCACCTATAATCCAACACTAAGCGGGTTAAATGTAACAAAGTTAAAAGTCTTTAGGCAATGCCTCCAACATTATAACCACTCAACTAATAATGTGACTACACAATAGTGAGCAGATCAGACAAGATCCTTAACCTATTTTGATTACTTTGGGCTATTATGTTTTATCCTCATGTGGTCCTTCCCTCAAGGACTTTCCAATCTTTTATCTTTCCCCCCCCCCCCCAATCTTTTATCTTTTTTAATAGAATACATTTCATGCTTGATTTTGTTAAACACCTTCCCCCTTTTACTTTCCAGCTCTCCTAAGTAGGCCCAGCTCAAGACCCAGACCAATTTATTCTGAAAATGTAGCTTAACACTTAAAGATCCCACAACTGAGCACTGGTATCACTAAAAAGCTTGCTTTCTTTTTTTTAAAAAAAAAAAAAGACAAAACAAAACTTGGAAGAGAGCCATTTTGAAGCACTTTGATTTTTGTTAACAGGCTAAGAACTGGGTGTACACAATGTCATACTCCGCCTAACTACAGGGACTAGCAATAAGGAAGCCATTAGATTCCCATCTCCAGCTTAGCCTGGTATTTTATTGTGCACATTCTGAGCAGAACTTAGAATGCTATTCCTCCCCCCCACCCCCTTCCCCTAATCATTTTAGATTGGAAATGCTAAAAAAATTCTTGCCCTAAGCAAAATATTATTGCCCTTAGCAAATTCAAAGCAGTGAGCCATTTTTAAATTAAGGAGATGTAGCTGAAACGAGTAAGAACTGCCCAAGAGGGAAAAACTCAAGAACCTCGCTATCAACCCAACGCAGCTGGACAAATTATAGACTGACTGCTTACTCTTTAGGACAAGAAAGACAGCTCCTCTCCAGATGTCAAACCAAACACAGCAGAGTAAAAAAGCTTTGATGACTATGCCCGGAGCCAGAGACGGTCTGGAAAATGGCAACTTTGCACACCTCTAGTCCATTTCCCTATTGGCGTTATTCCATTAATCATTTTCCTGCAACCAGATAACTTTAAAAGGAGACTTAAAAAAAATCAAGTGTAATTATGACAAGTGCACACGAGTTCAACGAGCCACTTAAAAGTGAGACTCACAGAACCAGACCGAATGGGCTTTTAGGGGTCTGTCAGGCTGTGCCACACACCAGCCTCGATGTCATCCGAAACCGCAAACTGCTGTAATATCGAAGGAACACGTCAGGGGCAGAAGGCAGGCTGGAGCGGCAACACTCACGCCATTTCCACTCCCTCCATGAGCACTCGAGACTCATCGGGCTGCACGCCCGGTTCGCACGTTAAGATGGTGCCTGGCTGGCGAGGCGGGGACCGCGGCGGGGCTCCCGGGGCCAGGGCGGCTCGGCCTCCGGGGCGACCCCGTCCCAGCGGAGGAGGTTGGGCCGGGCGAGCCCCTTTGTCTCCGCTATCGGCCCGGAGAAAGGAAGGAAGGAGGGAGGGAGGGGGGAGGCCGGAGGCCGGAAGGGGGGCTAATCCCCCCCGGCCCCGCAGCCAGACAGATGGAGCGAGGGGACGGCCGGGCAGCCCTCCCGCCGGCGCCCGCGGGCGGTGCGCGCCGCCTCACCTCATCCTCCTGCTCGCTCCGGAAGCACAGGCACGCCGCCCGCTTCTTGAAGCCCTCGCGGTCGTAGGTCCGCGTCTGGTTGGGCTTGAACTTCATCATAGAGGCGGGTTCTGGCGGCCGCTGCTCCTCCAGGCGCCGCGGCGGGGGCCCGGCCGCCGCCACCCCGCCGGGGAGTGGGGCCGAGGCGAGGCGGGCGCAGGGGTGCCGGGCGGCGAGGCGGCGGCGCGGGGTGAGCAGGCGGCGAAGCTGGTCGGCCCCGGGGCCGGCGGCCGCTCCGACGCGGGGCGAGGCGCGAGCGCGGGTCACTGGAGCCCGGGTGCCGGGGAGGAAGCGCCGCCTCTGCTCCGGCGTCCGCCGCTCTCCATGGAGCCCGCCGCCCGCCCGCTTCTGCTCCCTCCAGTCGCCGCCGCCGCCGCCACGCCGAGTGCGAGGCTCGAGGGTCGCACCACGAGGAGACAGTTGCGGAGACGCGCTCGGACTGGACGACGGCGGCGCCGCCCCCGCCCCTGTTTAAGCGGCCCGCGCATGCTCCGCCCCGCGCGCCAACGCGCCTGCGCGCCGCCCGCAGCGGGGGGAGGGGAGGGCGGGGAGGAGCTGGGAGGGGGCCCGCCTCGCCGCTCGTGAGGCGGCTCCGGCGGCGGCGCTCCCGCCGAGCGCAGGAGGGCAGGGCCCGCTGCAATGCCGGGGGGTGGGAAGAAGCAGAGACCCCTTCCTCCCTGTTTACAAGCCCCGCGGCTTCCCCCGGAAGGACGAATGCCGTCCCCGGGAGAGGGCCCCAAGGCCTCGGCTGAGCTCCGCGGGGCCAGGGCGGACGCGCCCAGAATCCGCCCGGGAAGAAGGGAGAGAAGAGAAGCAAGGCCCGGAGAGGTGAAGACGTTGGTTAAGAGGTTTTATTGTTTTTGTTTGCGTTCCAGAAGAAAGGGAGGAGGAAAATACCTCCCACCCACCCCCCTTTTTTTAAATCTGTGGTTGAGGAGTCGTTTGTATTCTGTGAAAAGTCTGCTCAAGCTTAAACATTTGTTCAGATAATCTGCTCCCCTCCAGAATGCATTCCTTAATGCTGGCAATGGCTAATACTGACTAAGTGGTTTTCTTGTGTGCCTTATGCTAAGTAACAGGTAAGCTAGATCCCCGGGCCACAACACTAAATATAGAGGGATGCCTGCTATCTGAGAGCGACAAGTCTCCCAGGGCCTGGGGACAAACAACATTTAGATTTCAGAGTGTCACACGGGGGCTAAAATAGGCGCCACTCGGCCTGTTGTTAATGAAGCTAATCCACTCCATCCTGCCCTTTCCCGGAGGGAGGCCCAGCGCTTAGATCCAGGAGCTTCTTTCTGAACATTCTCTTTTTCATTCCTGGAGGGCCTACTGTGTGCAAAGCGCCTGACTACTAAAACCAGCCCCTACCCTTCCAGGATCATAGGCACCTGAGAGCAGTTAGTCAAATATGAAAACAATCATACTAGTACCTGTTAAACAAGTGTCCTAAGGGAAAGGTGGGAGAGGGTGTCAAGGATCTACTGTGTTTCCCCGAAAATAAGACATCCTCCGAAAATAAGACCTACTTACAGGTTTCCTTCTGAATGAAATATAAGGCATCCCCTGAAAATAAGGCCCCCCCCCTTCCCCAGGCTAAACATGATAGATTTGGTCCACTAATTCTGAAAGAAATGGAGTCACAAGAAATTCACCAGGAAATTCCAGAAGATGATGACATGATTGTCATTGAATAAATGAGTAAATTGTTGATACTGTAGGATTGACAGTTTGTCTGGTTTGTGTTGACAACTACCGTACTACCGTACCATATACAGGTAATAAATTTCCCTTATTTTCATTTAACAATAAATGTGTACCGTATTCTCTTCATGGAAAAATAAGACATCCCCTGAAAATAAGACCTAGCGCATCTTTGGGAGCAAAAATTAATATAAGACACTGTCTTATTTTCGGGGAAACAGGGTGTGACCAGATCTGCAAGTCCGAACAGGCTTCCCAGGGCAGCCTGGTGGTGGCCGAGTGCTGAGGGAGGAAGAGGAGCTAAGTAGACCAAGAGAAGCCTGGTGAACTCAAGGCTGAGGGAACTGGGAGTTGTGCAATGTCCAGTAGAGGAGGGAGTGAGGGGAGCCTGTAGAAATGAAAGAAAAAGTGAGCAGACACAGTGGGGGCAGCTGGGGTCCATCTCTGCCCCAGAGGGGTGTGAGGCCTGACCATACGGAACCAGGAGGCTCTTGTAGAGCTTGGGAGCGGTGCATTGGTCTGCCTTCCTGTTCTATAGACTCCAGCCTCAGTTCAGGGCTTCTGTGCTAACTCAATTCCTTACCCCCAGAGCCTAGCAGATACAACTTTGTAAAACAAGTTAATGCTGAATTAAGTGATTTAAGAAATGAAGTTTTACCACAACACAATTAGAAATCTTATCAACTCTGGGCAGGCATTTTCTAAGCTTTAGCTTTCTTATAGAAGCCACTGAAGTTTATTTCCACATTTACAAACAGGAACAGAACTAGCTTTTCTCACCTCTCAAGTAGTATAAAAACACAGTGGGTCTGAAAGTGCTTTAAAAGGATCAAGCATTAAAAGCAGGGGTGGGAGCCGAAACCGCTTTGGCTCAGTGTCTTGGCCTGTGAACTGAAAGGTCCCAGGTTCAATTCTGGTCAAGGGCATTTCCTCTCTGTAAAAAATCAATAAAATATATTAAAAAAAAATAAAGCAGGGGTGGGGAATGTTAAGCCCCATATAAGGCCGGATAAATCATTTGATCTAGTCTTGCCAAGGCAACTGCAGGTAGGACTTGAAATTCAATAAATCTAGGAGCTTTTTTTTTTTTTTTTTTTCAGTTTGATTAATTTTATTTATTTATTTTTTAAATCAATCTTTATTGTTCATATTATTACAAAGGTTCCTCATTTCTTCCCCCCTCCACCAGGTTCCCACCCCACCCTCCGCCCCCTCCCCACCCCTCATTGTCCTCATCCATAGGTGCACAGTTTATGTTCAGTCTCTTCCCCCATCCACCACTCCCCCTTTCCTGGAGAACTGTCAGTCCACTTCCCTCCCGTATCGCCCACTCTACTACAATCAACAGCTAACATTGTTCATCAGGTTTTTCAATCTCTCTTTTTTTTGTTGTTGTTGTAGTTTTTTTTTTAATTAATAAACTTTTACACTTCTAAGAATAAATTTTAAAATCTAATAATTTTAAACCATGTTTTTTTTCTGCCCTGGGAATTGAGAAGCAAACTTGTTTACATGTAAACTTGCCATTAGGCTATCAAAAGGTGTAGCCATTCAAGTGTAAATGAACACATTGTTTAAAGATAGCTGCTGGTTGGAATTGGATTACCTGTTCTGGGTGGGAAGGGCTTGTCCTCCCCTTTCTCCATTAAAATTAAGGTGTTAGCTTTATTTTATTTATTTTATTTATTTTTTAAAAAATATTTTATTGATTTTGTACAGAGAGGAAGGGAGAGAGATAGAAAGCTAGAAACATCGATGAGAGAGAGTCATCGATCAGCTGCCTCTTGCACACCCTCTACAGGGGATATGCCCGCAACCAAGGTACATGCCCTTGACCGGAATCGAACCCGGGTCCCTTCAGTCCCCAAGCTGACGCTCTATCCATTGAGCCAAACCAGTCTCAGATAGGTGTTAGCTTTAAAACCTCTTTTTGGCAAGAGACCTTAAACTTTCAATTTTTCAGATAGTAAATCAGTTACTTAGCATTTTCTCAAATCAATAATACCTCCACATGCCCAAGGATACACTTCACACAAAAGACATTTCCAAATAGATCAACCAACATCATTCAGACCGCACACAAGGCCCTCACAAATCAACACCCCAGCGCTATACTAACTCAACACATCCAGATCTAAGCCTTCCTCACTTGATTCAGCAGACCCTCAAGTTCCCCAAAAAGTTTCCAGCCATGTCTGAGAGGCAGTCCTGGGGCGGGAGCAGGTGAGGAGCGAGCTGTTCCAGGCCTGGTTGCTTCGGGCCTGGCCTCTGTTGCTCTGTCCGCTCCACAACCAGCTGCTCTAGGAGTTTTTTTTCATAGCAAATTTTTTTTTTATTAAGTGAATTATGTTAAGGGAATGATGTTATAAATATCCTAATGGCCCTTGGCAGAAAAAGGTTCCCCTCCCCTGATTTAAAGGAACATTATTGATTTCAGAGAGGAAGGTAGGAGAGAGATAGAAACATCAATGATGAGAGTCATTGATTGGCTGCCTCCTGCACACCCCCTACTGGTGATTGGGCCAGCAACCTGGGCATGTGCCCTGACTGGGAATCAAACCTTGACCTCCTGATTCATAGATCGATGCTCAACCAATGAGCCATGCTGGCTGGGCATCATAAGATGTTATTAACAATATTTTCACTGGAGATTTCTTTCTCTTCGCCCTTTCCTCAAGGAGCAGAGAGGTGTCATGGAGAGGACCAGGTGCTTGGGGAGAGCTATGAATTTTCACACTGTGAGGGAGGGGGTTTTAATTTAAAAGAAATTCTGCAGCAAATGATTTGAACTATGAATAACCACATCCCCACCCCTTTTTTTGTTGATTAACTAATTTATTAGATTTTTGCTATTATTTGAGAGGGACCCAACAGAAAAGGAAACTTGTCTGACCAAAACGAGAAAATAGAAAAAGGATGAATTATACATGCTAGGTCTTCATTTTCCTGTGTAAGTTCCCAGATTAGTATTGTCAAGCACATATTATGCATAAAAAAATGCACTTAGGCACCGTCCAAAGCTTAGATCAGATCCAGTCAGATCTCAGTTGAGATAGACAGACGGAAGCTTGTTTTTTTCTGTGGGGCTGGTAAAGACTGGGTTACACCAGTCTGTTCCTTTGGGGATCAGAGTCCAATTTCAGGTTAATCTCCATTTAGTTCATTTACCACAGTATTGTCTTACCTAGAACTTAATATACACAGTCATTTCTTGTACTTTTTTTCAAATATTTGGAACCTCAGCAAGGGAAACTTGAACATTGCCCAGGAAAGGTACTACTTTTCCCAGGTTCCTTTTAACAATGTAACAGAGTATCTGGGAGAGAGATAGAAACATCAGTGAGAAACTTCAAAATGATGGGCTGCCTCCTTCACCGCACCTCTCCCCTCCCAGAGATGAACCTGAAACACGGGCATATTCCCTGACAGGGAATCCAACTGGTGACCTCGGAGGGCATGGGTCACTGAGAAACACTGGCCCGGAGTAACCCACTTTCTTAACTCCTACAGTTGCTGTGAGCTTCTCCTGCTTCCTCTGCTACATGGCAATTTAATATGTCTGTGAATGTATTATTGTTTGCATTGTGTTGTATTCTAACACTGGGTTTTCAGTTTTGAAGTGGAAAAGATGTTTAAGGTGTGATCATTAAGAGATGTTCCTTATGATGAGAGTCTGATTTACTATCACCTAAAGTAGTGGTTGGCAAACTGCGGCTTGTGAGCCACATGTGGCTCTTTGGCCCCTTGAGTGTGG